CGTCCTTTTTGTCCATCCAACGCCGCCTGTGTTGTCCTTTCTTGTCTGAACATGTTTGCCCCTGGTCTCGGTTGAAGAACAGTTGGTGTAATGGGCCGACCAGAAAAACGATTCCACTTCCGCCATCTCCTCCTCGGGTGTGGAGCCACCCTGATGCAGTTGGGGTGTGAAAATGCTGGAGCTCTGAAATCACGCGTTTGAAGTGCCCGATGAAGGGGGCACGTCAATATTCCTTTAAAACAATCAGAGTCTACTGTTCGCTAAGGTTGTGTTGGGACATCTATGGACATCTGCTATGGATTTCTTTTGGGACACTTCCCGGAATAGAGAGACTGCATGTTTTTGCCGCTGGCATCAGTTCAGTTCAGGGGCCCAGTTGCCGTTGTCATGTTGAAAGACTTGTTATATAAGAAGCCTTCCGTTCAACGCCTTCCCCAGACCTTCACGTACAGTAACTGGGCACCCCTTCACCCAAGGGCTGCTCGGCGGGATCAAGATCTGGCAGGTCCTGGAAGCGTCAAGCTTCTTGATTCACCCCAGACTTTTGGAGCACCAAAAAGGCAATGGAAGACATGTGTTGGATCATAGATCTCCAAGATTCATTCCACAAGATACTCCTTACACCGGTACTCCAACTCCTCACATATCTTTTGCGTCATCGTTTCCCAAATACATGGGGATGGTCAAATGTCCTACCAAACAACACGAATCGGATGTGTAGAACACAGCTGTGTGAAGCTCTCGCTTCCTGATCCTTCCAGCCCGAAACCCACCTCATCATCAGAGTCGTATTCATCACCTCCCATATCGCCGAAGTTCATGTCACCCAGGCCTGTTGCAGCATAACACCAGGGTCACGGTCACTAACCAAAGGCCAAGTCTTTGCGACTTCAACAGCTCAGTGGCAGGGTACGCAATGGCAGTGCAACTGAACGAGAAATAGTTGTGTTTGGTGTGTTCCACAGTGCACCATCCGCACCATCCTACAGCTCTAATTGACCCAAGTCAATTTGACAGGCACTGGCAAAAACAGGCACACAGTTCGACGGCCTTTCACATGATGCCCAGCAAGAAGAGCCAGCAAGTAAATCTGAAATTGAAGGACTGGATATATGATGATATAAGTGATGATATATGTACATGCATATGTATAATTATGTATATATGTCTTTATATGTCTTTATTTGTGCCAATCTCGTTGGAAAATGACAACGAACACTTCCTCCGGCCAGCTGATAGGCGCACCGTCCAAATTCCATGCATTACTATTTTTTCCTTCATCCTCATCATCAGAATCCTGCCATCTCTTCCAATCAACCTCAGTGCGAATTCCATGGACAGCCCTCCCCTTGAAGACTCCGTCAATGGTGCAACTCTGATGACCCAATCGTCTGACAACTCTACCCAATCGTCTCTTGGGCACCCCATGGGGAGGTAGAAGCTCTTTTGAGGCATGCCAAGTATCTGTCCATCTTAGGTAGGAGCAACTGATCAAAACTGTTGGTTGTTTGGCTAAAGAGCCTCAAACATTGACCTCGGACCAACAGAACAAGGTGCAAAGTGCAGGAGAGTTCTTTTGAAAGTGCTGTGATGGTTTCATGGAATGATCATTAAGTCCAAGCTAAGCTGACTGTGAGGGGGAGTACCCCAGGCTTCGAGCCACCCAGGGAGCCCCTCATCTGAGGCATCCCAGCTTTGACCCAAGGGAGCTTCTTCTTGCTTAGAGAAGTCCATGTACCTTTACGCCAAAAGACATGGTGAAGGACATTCCCTTTGGGGAAGCTTACGAAGAAGGCCTCCCCTTTGGGGAACAATACTCAAACAGTAGTGACTACAGTAGGTGTGAATAGCATGCACTCACTGCATTTGTCCCTGGACAATGCCGCTGCTGTGGAAAGACTCCGTCTTGATCACCGACTCTCCGTAAATCTGCGACCCTCCTGCCTTCTGACTCTTTCTTCAGGTAGAACTCGATTAACCTGCAAGCTGGAACTGGCCAATCTGCTGGGGGATGGGATTCAATGAATGGGGTTTCTACAGTAGGTTTAAATACAAAACACTGCTACGACCGTTCATGTTGGAGATCGACTGTGCCTGGTGCAAAACCATTTCAAGAAAGACGCAGAATTTTATAGGTTGTCCAAGACTTCAAGAACCGTGTCAAAAGTTCCACTGCTTGCAGAGGACCGACTGAAGTGAAACGCACTCAAAAAGCTCCAATCTGGTTCTTGTTTCATCTGGTTTCTGTGGATCTTCAGAGACTTTGGACACGAAATGGCCAACATGTCCCAGTTGGGTACCAACGATAAGATGCTACAAAGATGTCATCTCAATCATCTACAAATCCGCTCTGGAGTCCAAGCCTAAAATGAGGTGTGCTTCCAAGATCGTCCAATGACAACAAGAGCAAATCGCCATATGAGTAACCGTTTCTGAAAAAACAAAGTGCATGAAATCGCAAGTACAGCAGGCGGGAGCTACCCATCATACCTTGCCGCCCTTGCCTCTTTGTACTCCACTTGGATTCCTCCTTCACGATTGGAGCCTTGTGTGGTGAATGCCCGGAGTTGAATTCCACCGCATGATTCTCCCTCCGCCGGTGATGCCCTGCCCTGAGTACTGATCTTAAATGTTTATGGATGACAGATGATGACAGCGGCTTCTCACTGCCAAATGCTGCTCGTTTGTCATCCGTCCTCTAGACATCAGCATGCAACTGGAGCCCTTCCAAGAGATGTTCTGAGTGAAGGCGTTTCTCCAGAAAGTTGTAGGTATTTATGATTATTCATGGATTGGAGAGGCCAACAAGCGAGCAAAGGCGCATGCCAAAGTCTGATCTTGCTTTGACTAGGCCTAGGCGTAGGATCCGTGTGCCCAACCCCCAAAACTCACATGCCACGGTTTCGCTGAGAAACAAAGAAGTCCAGGCTGAACTCATAGTGATTCCCTCCAGCCTGTCAGCAGAAGGCCTCAAACCTCTTCCATGGCAAATATCCTATGATGCAACAACGACAAGCTCCAAGAAACCTATATGAACTATTTCTTCAATGATTCATGCCTTGCCAGAGAAGCTGAGCTTGTCTGCGTCCAGGGAAACCTGACCAGCTTGACAGGTCTCTTTGTCCACCACGTGACATGCAACCTGCAATGTTGGAGATCACAAGTTAGACCGGCTCCGCATGGCTCGGCATACGGTGTATAAATGTGTATATACTTTATATATATATATATTATATATATACCAGAAACATCCAGAGACACAGTTGTTTAAGATACATCAGCTACAGCCACTCTAATTGATTTTGCAAATGCGCCATTTATAGAGATGTGTATATATATATATATCAAGGTCATAGGCACTATGCACACTCTCTGTATTGAATATGCAGAAGTATGCAGAACAAGAAGGGCGCCAACCGAGGACCTTTATTTAAATATATTATATATATATAACAAATGCAAGGGATTGCGCTTTAGACTGCGCCACTGGATGTGTGAGACCTTTAGACAGCGCAGCTGAGCGGCCTTGATGTCTTGGACTTCGTTCAGGTCGATGGTCAAGAAGACCCCGTCGGGCCTCTGGGCCCAAAGCACATCCTCAGCCGGTCAGACGGTCGTTGAAGACAGCTTCAGACGGTCGAGATGAGAATGAAGACTGCTCCAGGATGAGATGATCTTGCTGTTTTACTCCAAGAGTTTGAACCCAAACTGACCAGGCTGCTCAAACGTTTATCAAACCGCTTCGTTCTGATGGTCTGTGTTTTGCTGCTCATGATTTGCGTGTGGAGTGCTAGGTGTCTGATTGTAATTTTGGTCCCTGTTTTGTACTTTGCTTCCTTGTTTGTTACTGTATATTATACACCTCATCTGAATCTAGTGTGTCGTGTTCTTCTTCTTCTTCTTCTTCTTCTTCTTCTTCTTCGTCTTCTTCTTTTGCTTCAGCTTCTGCTTCTTCTTTACAAGCCTGATCCAAAGATCTGGATGATCCTGCGCCAGCAAACGGGTCTCACATCACAAGCTATCCTCGCACTCCCTTTTCAAGCTCCATTACACAGTTTTCGGATTCTGCATGTCAGAGCCCACTCAGAAATGGATCTCTGTCCGCACAAACGTCCAGCACCAAAGGTTTTGTATGGTTTTGTAGGCTGTCTTTGGGGTCGTGAGGGCCGTGAGGGTATCGGTTTTTGCTTCTTTGGAGGTTGGTTGGCGATATCGCAGTTGACACGCGTGAGCGGTTGAATCGTTTGTCAAATCCCCTCACGCACCCCCCGGAACCTCAGTCCTTTCGTTCAGATGGCCCTTGCCACTCCCTTCCTAGCCTTCCTCTTGTTGGCGTGTGAATAAAACACTTGCAGTAAATTCAGTATATAAAAGTAGCAACTGTAGCAGCAAGGGTGCAAATGGCACGCCCCGCCAACATTTAATAAACAAAAGACTTCAGCCTAGGCCAGGGGCCCAGCCCCCATCCACGGATCCTCAGTTCTTCCAGGACCCCCTGCAGGGGTAAGTGCCATGGCGAGGTCTCAAGCTCTCAAAACGCTTCGGAATGTAATGCAAAGTTGATGCAATGTGTCAACTGAATTGCTGTTGACCTTGCTGTTGACCTGGTTCCCATTTCAACCTGCTCTGTAGGCAGCTTCGAACCTTGTAGGCAGCACCCGAGCTCATTTCCTCTCAGGAACGAGTGCTCACTTCGCTGGGGGGAGTCTCTCCCACCGCAACAAAGGATTGACCCCTTCCGGTGGTGCTGTCATATCTGACCGTCTGGTGGCACTCTTGACCAAGGTGGCACTCCCTTTCACAAGATGAACATAGGTGAACAAACCCCCTTCGCAGGCAATGAACTTGCCCGACATTCTTGTTCCCTGTTGGGGGGTCCCCCAAACAAAGGAGGTATAGATGGCTCAAGACACTCCCATGAGTGTTCAAGCCGCCGGTGCGCCAGCTGATTTTCATGCGATTTCACAGCCTGAGCCGCTCCTTTGCGACAGTCAGCTGACTCACCTGGCCAAAGCTCTCTTTCAAAACGCCCGGATAGTCCAAAAACACACCCTCAAACTACAACCGCAGGCTTGGTAGGGTAGTCTTCAGGTAGGCTTGAATTCATCTGACCTTCCGGTGACCTAGATTGCCAGGTCTATTCAAAGAGGGATCTAGATGATCATCCATCCTTTGTTCAAAGCACTCAGTGGGTCATTCGGCACAACAATTGCTGGAACGATTAAACACTCCTTTGCTTCATCCTTGGCAGCCGAGCTCTGCTTTCTTCTCGGCTGCAGAGTTCTTCTTCGCCTCTGCCTGAGGCTTGTCACGCCGAAAAAATGCATTCAAATCCCAAAGTCGCAGACCGGGTTGACCGCTTTGTCTTGCATGAACTCAGCAAACAACCGCACCCGTTCAATAAACATGTTCTTTAATATTTGTGTCTTGGTCTTAGTCTCTTAGACAGACTCTGATGAATCAAATAGCTGTGTCCAAGCAGGGCAAGTAGGCAGAAAGCAGGGTGTGCTTTCTGACAAACAAAATCAAACAAACCAGCATCGTTTCGACAACGAATCTCAGCCCCACCCACCTACCCACCCACCCCACAGATATATACGCTGGGGCCAACCTCTTGCTGAATCTTCTTAGTGGTTTCGTAGAACATCACAAACCTGGCCCGCACAAACTGCACAAGAAGAAAATGATTGACACCTTGCAAACTAAAAACACCCAATTACACTTTGCAAGTGACTTGATTAAAAAAACAAAGTAAAACTGCTGAAGCTACAAGTCAGTCATGATTTCCCACAAGGCAAACCGCGTGTAACATACAGTACCATATAAAAATATATGTTTCCCAAGGCGGTAAACACCGCACCAGAAGCAGTGCCCTGTGGTCTTGGAATGTTACCCTGAGTTCAGGTATGCGATATGGCTTGGCAGGCCAGTTTCTGTTTCAGAAGCTCTCTTCCCTGGGTCATCCAGCTGAAGTAGAAGCAGCAGCCACATGAAGGCAGCCGCAGCAGGGTTTAAGATCGCTATCCAGTCGCCCGTCTGCAGAATTGACGTCAAGACCTTAGATGGAAGATCTTGGAACGATCCTTGGTCGCTCTATCTCACAGCCGTTGGGCTCCCAACGCGAACGCTACATCCTGCAAAGCCTAGAACAGCCGGCCTCAAGTGAAGAACCAAAGATGAAAAGTTAATCTCATGGATGGCACAAAGTGACAAAGGACATCAAAGGACCAATTCTTGAGCAACCATTCCAACAATCAAAGTTGAACAAGATCCTGCTGGCTGTGCCCCCGACACGACTGACATCGTCCCGGTGTGTCTCTGTGAGTTGTTCTTCAGCACCTGCGGCACTTTGGCACCCGTGCCTTGGAGGGCTCTTGTTCGCCGAGCGAAGAATTCTTCGGAAACGCCAACCATGTGCACTCTCCCAACCATGACACACCTGTGTCACCTTAAAGATCACTGCGCAAACCACGCTCCGTAGGCGCACATCCCAAGGCGAAGGCCGAGGAATATCGGCATACTGCCAAGGGCAGCTAAAGCATTGGCAGGCAAACCTCACAGCAGATTCTTGCCCAGGGTCCCTCTGTCTCATTGCCTTCTCAAAACAGTTGCAAGGACCACACCAACTCGCAGTCCAAGGGCTGTGACTTGCAGTGCTATGGCCATGGTGTTTCTGTGGTCGGCCATACCCAACTAGTGGTTCTGCACCCAACCCAACCCGCCCAGGGCGCACCCAAGATCAGCACTGCCGCACTGGCCGCGATGAAGAGCAGTGTGCCCAGTATCCGCGGACTTGGACGCACGGGACAGCTATGCGTTTGTGGCCAACGTGGCTTGCGGCCAAAGACTGGAGAGTCCACCGTTTTCGCTAATTAGTTTCAAGCGAGACGAGGCACGAACTAGTGCTCCTGTCATACTGTGTTTTCAGCTTTCTGTGTGACAATTGGGACAAATGGCATGCATGTCTTTCCTCCTCGGTGGCCTTTTTGCCTGCCATGTGTCCGAGATTCCCACAGGCGCGGCAACTCTGGACTGTACTGCCAGAAAAGGAAAATGATCTTGGCCGCCAGCGGCGAACGGCTTTACGCTTTAATTTGGTTCCTAGTTGCGATGCCAGGAGCCCCTAGTAGTGTCCTTGCTTCTAGTAGTAAGGCCAGGAGCTCCTAGTAGCTTCTTGTTCCTAGTAGCGATATGTATATAATTATATATATCACCCTATACCTTGAAGTTGCCTAGCTCCCCCGCCCAAGCTGTGGTGGGAGAAGTCTGTTACCAAACACCAGGTTTGACACCAAGTAACCGTAAGCTCAAGCACGTTGCCAAAAATCAGAGGAACGGTTCTTTTGACAACAAATATGTATATACATGCTGCACACATGTCCTGAGGTTCCTGAGCTTTGCACTGCCATATTCTGAAGGCCGACGATGGCATTCTCGCCCCAGGACATGAAGGGATAGGCAGACAGCACATTGTAGTATACCTGTTGGGTGAAAATGGGCAGATAGTGGGCAAATAGATTTCGACGGCAAGGAGGTCTCACCGATGGAACTCCATGTGCTCGAAAAGAGGAATCAAGAAGTCCGGTTGAATTCTGTACCAACGATCCAGTACTTTGAGGGTTCCCAGGCAATGTGCTTCACATTGATAGCTAGAACCTTGGAAGCCTGCCAACTGAGTTGATGCAGGCAAGCAAAGGCTTGCAGAGGAGTACAAACCAAAGAACGGTGCATTTTCTACACACACATATAATGTATATGCACAATGACCGCTGGGGTCCAAGCTTCTTTAACAAACGTGCTTCAAAGGTTGCGCCACCATGCCCTTCTCCCAAAACATATCCATCTACAATCTTGTGTTCATGAGGGTTTAAGTTTAGGGCGGGGTGCAACTCTCTCACACACACAACTACAATACACAATCCTCGCTTCGCGCGTGTCATGCCATCTCCTCTTACCACCTGGAAGTGGTGGGCGCACGAAGATCAAGCTGGCGATGCATTCGTTCACCAGCCAGGCCTCCGAGAGCCCCACCGCACTACCGGCCTCGCACGTTCGCACGTTTCGGACCCAAACGGTGCGATTTAGGTGGCATTCTGAGGCATTCAATCGGTGGAATCTGCAGAAGGTCTTGGAGAAGCTCATGTTGCACTCTTAGAACCAGAAGAACAGTGTGCACTTGCTGGGGATCGGGATCAGCAGATCCTCTTCAAGTAGATGACGGAGGTGAAGAATGCAGGAGAGAGTTGTTGTACATCGTGAATTGCCCACTGAAATCTTCAAGCAACATATCCCTCCACATCCCTCCCCTTAAGGGAGCAAGACAGGTTATCTCAAGATTGGGGTGTCTAATGTATACGGTTCGGACTGGCCAAGTCCACCGCCTACTCTCGGTCTTTTGAACTGTTCAGATGTTGGAAAGCTAAGCAGCTGATCGGCGTTCTTGATTTGATATATGCCGCATGTCCTTTCACCACCAATTCAAGCCTTGCTCAAAATGCTCCCTTGCCTTGAGGATATTGTAGATCTGAGGGAGCTTCATCAAGCAACTCCTACCGAGAACAACTCGAGAGTCAGAGTGGCCAAACACGAAGTGGTTGTGCCAAACCAACATTGTGGTAGTAGGATGTAGTAGGTAGATGGGAGAGGAAGTGATTTAAGCATCGTTTCCAAGCAACGACACTGTCAAGTGAAAGGTTTCTGGAGCGCTGAACACACCAATCTCCACAACAAAGGTTCAGTTTTGGGCCAAATCCTTACATTACAGCTCAGCAATCCTTTGCCGTTCTCCCTGCCTACTCTCGCCCACAAAGAACTTCTTTTGCTCGCGCTTCGGGTCAACAGGTGGTGAGACGGATGGTGAAACAACGGATGGCGGATGCATCTCAACGGCACATCATGCATTGGCCAACTAGTTGAGCTGATCATGAGTTTTCAGGTAACCTCAGGATACTCCATCTACCGTAGTAAAGGCCCTTCTAAAGTAATGACTCCAAATAGTCCACAAGCAATACTATGATAACATGTTTTCACCTGCAAACTCGTGGTTATGCATGGTTCGTGAGGTGTAGAGATCCATGTTTGACAAAACGTGAGCTGCCAATGCCCGAGCTTCCTGCGAGCAGACTCGCAGACTGAGTCGGCATGGCATGCATTCGGTGAACTTGATCCTCCCGAACACATACCTTTCTGAGCGCCCTCCACCACTTTGGCGGTCGAGAATGTTGAAATACCAGATCCCAAGAAACCCACAAGCTATCCGTTGAAGATCTGCAACAAGACTGCATCTTATGCCCCACCAAAGTGCCGTGTGGAGGGCTTCTGAGGTACTGCTCCCCTCCTAGCACTGTTCGGCTCATGGCAAATTATACCTTGGCAACTCATGTCGTCATGGGCGAATCCGAAGCTGAAGTACCGTACCACTTGCCAACTCTGATCACTGATCCCTGATCTGTGCAGGTGGTCTGTAACTTCATGGATGTGGAGTGGAACAACTGAAGACAATTCCGAAACAGGAAATGCATGATTCTAATCATATGAGTTCGCAAAGAAAATCAAGGAAAACCTACCCTCCAGCTTCCGCCTCTTCAGCTTCTTCTCTGGGCATCACTGTTGCTGCAACTGGTGCAGTCCAGGCACAGGCTGGGTGAACGTCGTTCTTGTGAGGCATAGCTGGGGCCTAAGGAGGCTGAGGGTTTCAGCATCGCCTTTGCAGTGCCGGTCAGCTGCGGAGACCTGTGAGGTCATGGTCCGGCTGCGAAGCCACAAAGCATGCCAAGCACATTGGACACTGTATATTTCAGTGTGCAGCTTCCAACAAAAACCTAGCAGGAAGTGAATGCTGCACTCTGCATCGCTCTGCAGACAGTAGACAGGTACGGTGCACCGGTCAACTGCAAGGATCATGCATCCTACAGCTCAGCTTGCCCACTCTCCCTGCCTGATTTTTGACATGTCACCACGGCAAATCATGAACTGATTCTTTTGCGGCTTCACCGGAGGCCTCAAACACAGACACCATGTTACTGGCAGTGTTCCCAGTGTTTGTTGAAGGTGCGTTTCAGTCACAGTAACTCTGGAGTCATGTTAAACTTCTTCGTCTACTGGGTAATCTAAAGAAGTTCAATGGTGCTTTGCTGCAGAAGAATGCGCCGCTTCTTGGAGGTAGCACGAATGAATGAAGCAACCGACCAAATGTCAAGCTTGGCCAAACCGAGGTAACTTGTTGGGGTCACGAAGCACGGGCCTTGTCCCACTTATTGAAGCAAGGTCCTTATTGCACTTGAAAGCATCTCCCAACAACCAGGCCCATTCCTCTTCTAAATAAGAGCCCGCGCGTCAAGATGGCCGCGCGGCAATCGAAACCTGGAATCCGCCCAAACTCGATCCGCATCCAGCCCCAATCCCTGATCCATCCGCCCCATCTTCAGCTCCAAACGGCCCTGGCTTCCTCACGTGTTGCTCCAAGCTCTGTGACGCTCGGATCGTCACCGAAGGGTCCGACGCGGAGCGGCTCAGCACTGGGCCCTCCTGGCGGGAGACCCTCCCGGTCTCTGCCGGTCTCTCCGGGCAGCTCATGGGAACGAACGGCTTTCAGGAGTTGGTGAGGTCATCTTACGGAACAAACAACTTCAGCTTCATATCAAATCATACCTGGGCACGTCCTCTTAGCCAACACGTACGTATATAATGTTTATATTACAAATAGCCTGGTTTGACTCAACTCCACAAAGGACATTCTTCGATGCAAACGACCCTTCTTTGTGTGTCTGCTTCACTTCCGCTGCGTCTCCAGCATCTCTGCACTTAAGCTCTGCTCCAAGCTGATCAGCTCAGTGGCAATCCTCACCAGGACAGTCCAGTTTTCCATGCGATCATTGTCAGATTCCGTTCAACAGGGACACTCGACAAATACGTCTCAGTGGTTGCCCAGACTCCAATGTTCCTTTGGTCAAAGAGATGCCGTAGCAAAGACATTGTGACATTGTGGCCACAGCCCAGGAGAAAACTTGTAGGGAAAAAGAGATTGGTATCTGTCCCAAAGTAGGTCCATACGCGATGGCACGTTCACATCGAAGTATCATGAGATCGGCAAATATCATGAGTAAGCACTTCAAAAGCCCACACGAATTGAAGCACAGTAACAAGAAGCTAATTACTAGGAACAAAGGGCATTGCTACTAGGAGCAAGAAGCTACTAGAAGCTCCCGGCATTACTATTAGTAACACCCATTCCTTGCCTTTTTTGATGTTGCCAGTCGCAGATCCCGGCGCGAGACAGGCCTGCAGACTGGCACAACAGGAAGCCTGTCTTCGTTCCAACAGTGCTGTACCCATCCTTCTCAAACCGGCAGTGAAGTTTATTCCAGTCTGGTTCTAGAATCTAACATCCACTTTACGTTTCTATCATCCGGAATCATGAGAGGGCCTCCGTTTAATTCTCGTCCTCTTGGTCTTTTCTCCCTCAATCGGTCAGAGTCTCTTCTGGAAAAACATCACGCCGAAGCGTGCCTTTGGAGAGGAAGCCCTGCTTCCTCAAGTCCCTGAGGCCAATCAATGAGAAGTTCCGCATGGCGGTCTCCGCATACTGCGGCCTTATGCAAACATTGTGCCTTTTGAGGGGGCGGAATGATGGAGGCAGTGAATTGACTCACTGGGAGGCCACCGTCCAAGCCTACAACCTCTTGGTCCACATGCCCGAGCGGACAGGAAATGAACCTTTTGCTGCTACTTACTGCATGTTTGAAGGTCAGGTAAGGCTTAGATAGATAGTGCTTCAGATAAATGATCATTCAAGCAAGACTTCCCAACATCGGCCATGGAGATATATAAAATAAAACATGTGCTTCCATCCCAGATTGTCTGGGCTGCCCAGGCAGCTCGCACAGGTCCGCCACGAAGGTGGCAGCCTCCTCACCCTGCCATGGCTCCCTCTTCATGGCCTACACTGGCAGCTCTACTGCTCTGCGCAAGCTTCATACACTATGAATGTGAGATCCTGGTGATCATCGCAGTTCTTGCTGGTCTAAACCTTAATGCCACAAAATGGCCCATACACTACACCTAATTATATATATAATAGAGTCAAACATTACACTGAAGTGCTATGTCCTCTTGGGGCCAATGGCTCGGCGTCTCAGGCTGTGACAGGTGATTTCCAGGGTGCGTAGAGAAGACTCTGGAACGAAACCCAGACTGATTGCACCTGGGCGATGTCCTTCCAAATCAACTTGCCACAAAAAACAGAATCAGCTCCAGAGACACTCCAGCGCTCCAGAGACACCCCAGCGCTCCCAGATCAGTCCCTGCCAGCATGGCGCAGTTCAACACCATGACGATGAGTTGCTTCAAGTCTCCAGACTCCATGGCTCCAACGCCGGCGTTTTGGGCGACGACTCGTGGGTTGCAAAGCGCAAAGCGCCAAGAAGGACGTGTCGAAAGCTGATTTAAAGAGATTCGGGCTGAGCTTCCCAACGCCTAGCTGCCTGGTCTGCCTAGAAGTTGGTTGAACAAGATCTGCTTCTGCACAACTGGACCTTGCTACTGTAGCTTGTTTTGTGTGACGTCAGCTTATATAGCTTGATGAACGCCTGAGCCCAAAATCTTGAACCGATTATATATATATACAATAGCATCTGAAGTTGCATGCAAAAGACAAATTTGTGAATAGCCAGGACATGGCAGCCATCAAGTACTTTATTACCTTCCAACCAACAGCTGCTCTGATTGATGTATACCAAGTCCTGGAAATTTGTTGCACTTAGAGCTCAAAGGAGTGTCACAAGAGCTTGAGCGTCACTTGGTTGCCTTACAAAGTGTTTGTTCATGCACTCATTCTGAAAGACAGAAACACGTTCTAATTGACAGATACACCTGTGATCATGGGCCACCTCTCAGACGGGGTAGCAACATGTAACGAGGTCATCTTATCACTACTATCTAAAACAAGACAGAGAGAGAGAGAGAGGGAGGGGGGGAGAGCAAGAAAGAAAGAAAGAAAGCAAGAAAGAGAGAGAGAGAGAGAGAACAGTTCGTTGTATTCCCAATGCCCAACGCCGTCTTGTTACTCAAAATCAGAATCTATTCGAATGGCAAAGAAAATAAAGGCAAGAATATCCTATGGACGAAGGTTCCCATCCTCCTATTACAGTGAAGGGGAAGTTGCGCTGAGATCCCTGGGTCTTAAACTCTCCTCTTTGAATCTCTTTGAGACCCTGTTATGATTTGATATTATAAATAGATATTATAAATAGATACTATAAAAAGTAAACTGCCCCAACACTTCACAGTCGCTTCACTCATGCTCTTCACCGCTCATTTCGCTCTCTTTTTCGGTGCGCTTGTCGGACCTCCTCCAGGCTCGGCAGTCGCAGGGTGCCCGCCTCCACAGCATCTTGGAGATGACGCGTCAGGAGCTCCACCACCTCGGGAGCTGGGTCTGAGGCGTCGCGAGGCGTCGCGAGGCATAGCGCGAGTTGCGGTGCGTTCAGCGCGGGGTGCTTCCTCCACTGGACAGATATGGGGGTATCACTGGACAGATATGGATCAGTATGCCGGCATGCCTCAAAGTGAATATCTTTCAATCGCAAAGAGGGTGGAGGAAAGATTGCCAAGGGTTCCCGCGGTCGCTGGGTTCAAGCTAAAACCAAGGAGACGCACCGGTCAAGAATAGGGAATATGCGGAATTAAGAAAGTTACTAAAACACTTATATCAAACATTTGATACAAGGGATTTGTGATCGACTGTTTCTCGTTCAATGAAGTGATGCATTTAGTTTAATCTAATCGGCTATAAAGATTGGAGTAAATATATATATATATTTATATATGACAAAACTAGTCACAGTAAATGAGCTCTTATTGCAGAGGTGCTTCCCTCACTATGTAAAGCTTGGGCATGACAAAAACCATGTGCATTGCTACTGGCTGCTACCCAAAAGGAAACCGAAGAACCGAAGAAAAGAAACCAACCAACTGGGAAAAACGAGAAGAAAACCATACGAAAACCATCGTTTCTGATCGCCTCTCGCCTCAAACATGTCGCGGCCACGGAGGTGGTTCACCCACAAGGCCTGCTCCTCATCCAGGAAGCCAAAGCGGCACATCAAAGCCACCGTGGGATCCTCACGGTAGGTGACCTGGTGCTCGAAGAGAAAGGGAGATGAGAGGTAGATATGGCCTCAGTCGCCGGGAGGAGGCCAAGGCTATAAGGAAGTCACCCGCTCTTGAAGGACTTGCATTCATGTGTAGCGCAAGGTGATCATGTGTGTTGCAAACAGTGAATCATTTCTCGGGGTGATTTTATAGTCTGTCTTTGCAAGACAAGCCGGTAGTTCCCAAAATGGCCACGGCCAGAGGCACCTATGCCAGAATTATGAAAAGCGTAGTTTCAAGAACCCCGAAGACACAGTGTCCAGGAAAAAGAAAACACAACAGTGCTCACACGTGATTTCATTGGCATTGCATGGCATGAAACCCATAAATCAATAACTTCCCATGGTTCCACCGCCCACATCGTACCATGGTTCGCACAACTGAGTTCCACCTCATCCCTGCTTGCGTCAACCGGTGTCAAGGGGCCGGCGCTCATGAAGACCTCCTGTTCCCAGGCTTCGTCCGTCCAGGCCCGCAGCCTCAAACGCCGCTGGCCCTGCAAAGTGATCCTCGCAAAGCCGCAGGATGATGCATGGCGAACGGGTATCAGGTAGATCCTCTCAAAAGAGACCAAAGACCAAAGTGATGAAGGCAGAAAGCTTCTGGCTCAAGGAGGCTCAAGGAGGACTATAACAAGTAAGGAACATGCCAGGTAAAAAGTGCTAGCCTGGTGCTAGCTAATCAGCATGAGAAAAAGCTTCTAGCTGATTCAAGGCCCTGTGGAGCTATACATTGCTTCGGGAGACACCCACCACTGGCAGGTTGCACAACACACAGCTATCAAATGGATATGTGATACATGCATTGTTTGTTCTCCAAAAAGGGCAACATCCTGCAGACCCAACCTGCCCCCTGGCTGAGCCCTAAGAATGATTGTTGAAAGAGAGCTGAAAGCTTCCTCAGCCTGATCTCTCCAACACCCCGACCGTTGGGGAAAAAAAGAAACAACGATTATCGCCCAGGCTCCCCATGTGCAAAAGCCCTGTGGCGCCATCCTTATGCCAATGCATCTCCTTTCTTCGCCCAGGGCCCGCCTGGTGTGGCGGACGAAAAAAAAGAAGCCAGCAACTGGCGACAGCGAGCTCACCTGCTGAGACCTTTTTTCTGCTGTAAACATATTGTCCACTTTTTTGGGGCTCACCACTTCAAACTGGAGAGAACTGGCAACATTCTAAAAAGCGCTAGAAACAAAACAAGATCGCAAGATCTCTTTCTGGTTGGCAGGTGCTAGAAGTTTTGACACGCATCGCACTAAACCTGTTTCCCATACCTCAGCAGTTAGGCTTTCACAACAAACTTCTTGTGGTCAATTCAATTAGATAAACACGTGTGTATATACTATATATATAATATATATACTATAAATATATATATATATGTGTGTGTATTGTATTGTACAACCAAACGAAATCAACTAGTTGCCCAAGTTGGCGGCTTCGATCTTGTCGACGAACTGGTCGATTCACCTCGGTGCCTGCGCTTCGATGGCCCCGAAGAAGCCACGCTCCTCGAAGTCCTCGATGAGAAGATCCAAGAGCCGCGTCCTCGGCGGTCGGTCTAAGGGGTCGAAGCAAACAGGTCGAAGCTCAAGCTAGCGCTCTCTCTCTCTCTCGGCCGGACTCCAGATGTTCACAATAGAATGTGGGTGACTTGGTTGTCTAGTTGCTACCAGAAGAGTTTCGGAGGTCGCCTTGTTTTGAACCCACTCAGGGTGAAGCTTCAGGCAGCTTCTTGGTTCAGCTTGACATGCCTTGAGAAATGGGGGGTGGGTGTTTCTTCGAGCCTGGGAATATCATCGGGCTTTTGGTCCCGCAAGACTTTGAGACTCTCCGTCATCTCCAGCCACAACTCCTCCAAGAGGCCGAAACAAGTGCATGATGTGCTTATCACGACTGTGGCTGACAAATAGCAGGACTCCGCACTCTTGCATGTAAGGTCAAATCAGTATTCATGCTTGGGTCACGAATGTCTCCAAACCCTCCAAGTGCCTCATTGACCGTCCGGAAGGCTTCGAGGAAGGCCAACACACGGGGAGGTGCCTGCGTTGAATCTTCTTTTGGACTAGTTCTTTGGTACCAACACTTGCAAACAAAAGGCAATCATTACCGTAGGCTGTGTTTCAAGATGCTTCGAGGCATCTGAAAGTTCTGTTGAAAAACCTCCAATAGCTCAGTGATCTGTCCCTCTATGCCATGCCGGTCCGCATCACGACCGGCGCGGAACCCGTCGATGAACCCGTCGAGACGCGTCGAGCGGCTGCCTGTCGCACGGGAAGGACCTTGTTCTTCCGTGGGACAAAGATGTCGAAGGTTGCTCCCCAGCCCGGCACAGAGTGCCTCAACGACCAAGGCTCAAGGGGTTGGGAGAGTATGGATTTTGATGTAAAAAAATACAAAATGAAAACAACACAATAGTTCTTAGTTGTCAAATATTTTAAGTATTGGTTTTGCCATTCCTATAGGCGACAAACCGGTGTTGTTTTGGCCCTTCCTAGGCAACCGACCGGTTCAAGTTGTGATTGCGTTAACATATGCATATGCTTTAAAGGCAATGCCGAAATGACCGCCCAAACGGGTGCAAACGAGCCCAAGCCCAAGAGCATAGCCGGTTTCGCCGAGATACCAATCTGCTTTCAACATAAAAGGCTCTCGCTTTGAAAACTGAAAATTCCAGCTCTTCCAGTTTCCAGGAGCATCCTCCTCCTCGTCTGGTTCATTCTTGCCATCCACATCTTCATAGAGACGATCTGGCCACTCTGAGGTGCCCAAGAAGGGACCTTCTGGGTCCTACGCAACAGAGAGTTCCTAGATCAACCCCTTCAGGTGCGTCTCACAGAATAAAGCCCCTAGGCCCTAAGCTCAACACATTGATCGAGGCTTCCCAGCTTTGACATCCCAGCTGGGACATGGAGAATGCCAGGCTTCTTGGATTAGTCAACCCTCTTTGACCGATCGATGCTTCGATGCTTTGACCGATCGGTCCTCCGAGATGTAGCTCGTGAGGTGCCTTGGCAACTCGGCTCATGGGTCTCCATCTCCTGGTCCCTGTTCCCATCTTGCTACACCAAAAGGTGATCCCATCCCATCAATCGGGGGCAAACACCAATCGGGCCCAGTCCTGCGGAGAAACCACTATGGAGCTGAATGAGTAGGAACGAGTAGGATGGGTTTGTCAGATTTGATCAGCGCATCTTAGTTAATTAGTTCAATTATTATGCTCATCGAATTCATATTGAATTCATCCCAGCCACTCCGAGGGTGGTGCCAGCAAGAAGACCACTGGCGCATCCTCTCCGCCCACTTTGGTGCCTCGGAGCTCTGGCTGCGCCTCGACCAGGTGCCGCAAGGGACCCGGACCCGCACGGGTCGGGGCCTCGGTTGACTGAGTACAGCGAGAGTACGTCGTGTGCAGAGAGACCACGACTACTGAGATATGCAAAGAGACCAAAGAGACTGGAGATCAAAAGGTGGACTTGTTTCCCTTTTGGGCGATCTTGAAAGCTCTGTAATTCAGCCATGTCACAGCTCGGGCAGCGGTTGCCACACGCTTCACTTGATGCCAGCTGAGCACCCAAGTGTGAAGTGTGGGCCTTCGCGAGACTTCGTTGGGTGTGGTGCACCCTTCCTATCCTTCCTCGTCGAGGTCAATTTGTTTGGATCCCGTAATGTACAGAACCATGTAAAAAGGCTTCAAGAAACCTAGCAACAAATTACAGTGTCTGCCAACCGGCAATGAACTCTGAAGAGTACTGTTGATCATTTATATCTATATACCCAAACCAGTACTTGATTGAATGGCTCGATTGGTGGCAGTCCCAGCCATCAAAGCTGAAATCAAAAATCCTCCAAATTTGATACATTACAGTAGATACAGGAAGTGAGAAGGCCTTTTGTGGAATTGAGGGATTGTGTTCCACAGCTCACACCCCCTTCCCAGTCGCCTCAACGCCACCAAGCTGAACGTCAAAACCAGGCTCGCTCTTCGTGGGTTCCACCAAGGCATGGCACGAGTTCTTCGTTATGCACCGCTACAATATGCCATGTTGTCAAGTCGTTTGCTTTTGTCACATTCTGAGTTTTGGGCTTGTTTGGTTTGGGAATACCGTCAAACCGAAGGATTTTCCGGTGATTGGTGATTCGGAGGCTCACCGTTCAGCTGAGCAAGTCTGGGTGTCTCTGCCCTGGAGACTGAGCGTTCCTAGTTCCACTTGGCGGCTTGTGACCTGGGCCAGCTGAAGCTGAAGCTGCATCAAACAAGCACGGCTAAGCAGAGCGTGGCAAAGACTTGCGCGTGGCGAGACGTGTGCGAGACTCCATGTCCTGCGCGAAAGCAAGAGCGCAAAGCCAAGTAGCGAAATGGTGGCACTTCAAGCAGGTGAATCATAATGCATGTATAGACTAACTTGTTTGCCTCAAAATAATATCAACACAAGCTTGGTCGTTCTTTTTTGTTGGTACCCAGTCCCGAAACAGCTGAAAATGAGTCTGGGCAACTCCATCTCAGGTAACTGTTGGCGAGACTCAAATAGGCCCGCAATACTCACTGTCCCAAAACATCCAAGGGGTAGGATGAATGTGCAGTAGACCTAAATCTTGAGTAATCTCAATAGTCTTGCAGAGACATAGTTCAGCTCTAGCGCTTCCCACAACAGCTTAGAGGAGGTGCTTCTAACCACAGAAGATAAAGCTGCTGTGGCATCCCGGCATCTCTTGTTTTCTCTGCAGAGCATGCTTTTTTAGCTGCTCGCAAACACTAGTACTAGCTCCAGCCTTGCTGGACAGCCAATGTAAAATCCTGATCACTACTTGGTTAAAACAAAACCGAATCTACATTATGAAGCATGCAAATGTTATTCCTCCATAGCAAGCAGACTTGTCAGCGCTTGGAGGCAGGCTTGCAAGCATGTGTTGCAATTCGCCGTCAAATTCAACTAAACCACCAGCGTTTTTTGCATCAATCCTAAATGCCTATCTATGACTTTGACTCGCAGATCTTTACATTCAAGACAAGCCAAGTAGGATTGATCCTGAGCATACCGTTCTCTTTGCCACTCCGGCAGCTCACGCCCGGAAGATGAAGGAAGACTGGGCAAAGTTCGATCTGGGACCGAAGCATCCGTGGGTCGGAACACGGCGAACGATGTGCAAGCGGTTGCGTCCAAAGGGAGCGAGACTAGAAGACGAGTCATTGGATGTGCCATGTTCTCTCAGTTAGGTACATGGGAAACGAGACGAATATATAAAGACAAAACAAACTGTTTTCCATTGTTTTCCAACAAGGCCCCCAAGAAGCATCCTCTATCTATATACTCCAACAGAACAAAACTCATTCGCCAGCAGAGCTCCCCCTTCTGTTTCACTCAGGTGCCTCTCGGCTCTAGCTCAAGCTCTTCAGGTAAGGCTTCAAAGTATGCTGCAAAATCCCAAAGCCCACAGTGCCAGCCATTGTGGCTAAGGGGGCGGCAAAGGCAGAGAAGTAGTTCATGCTGAAGCTGAAGCCCAGGAATTGAAGCCGAGAGGGATGCTCCTCCTAAGATCTGATAAATCTTGCCTTCAAGACCTTTGGCAGTTTCCCTCGAAAACTCCAATGTTTTTGGCATTCATGACCTTGGAGCTACCTTACACTTGGGTATTGCACTTGTCCAGCCTTGAGGAAGGCGCACACAGTGCAAGCAACTAACATGGTGCAAACATCTTTCACTTGCTGGTGGCAATTCCTGTCGCCTGAGGCCTGAGGCATTAACAAAACCAAGCTTCTTCATAGCGCAGGAACTGATTCCGCACTGAAAGTTCCGCTGCTGGTGTTCGAGGCACATGCTCTGGTGTTCTTGATGGATTTGCTTGATCTGGTCCTTCCGGTCCAAACGTCATGGACTCAATGGCAAGTCTCGCTGCCATTGTAGACAAGACACAAAAAGTTGCATCGTCACTTAGAACAAGCATATGTAATTCAGAGTCGAAACCTGACAGCTTCATGTCTAAACCAAAAGGACGAACGATGACACGCTCGTCTCTACCCATCTGTTTGGCCGACCGACGACCGTCCGACCGACTGGTCTCCTTTCGCCCTCAGAGGCGAGCTTTCTGGAGAACCCACCGGAGGCTGCTCGGTCAGCTTCTGGAGCTTTTCGACCCCCGACTGCAGCTTCCAATTCACCTAGCCACAAAAAAAACAAACAAACAAGCAAGCCGAAAGCGAAACGCCTATGACTATAACCAAACAAACAAACAAACAAACAAAAGCCAAAAGCCAGTCCTCAGATTCCTTTCGACTGGAAGGATCACCGAGGATCACAAATTGAGTTGGCACAAGTTGGGCACTTGACAAATGGTGAAGTTGAGTCTTCAGGTTTGCTCTTCAGTTTGGGCACTAGTTACCGACGGTATTTGTATGGTTTGTTACAACTCTAGCAGGGGTATTGGGGATCAGCCCTTGAAAGCATCATCAAATCAATACTGACCTAATATTAATGAGCCTACACCCAAGGCCAGTCTTTGAAGGTCTCCTTGACGATGGGTATTTCAATCAGCCCATGCACCATCCTTCGTTTGCCACCCGCACCTGGCTACCCAGGAAGATGAAAATCAGCATGAAGATTCCCAGGCCGATACCATAGACTGCTGCATAGCAAGTCAGCACAAAGTCCTCCTTCACAAGCACGATTCTCTCAAAACAGGGTCTTTCCATGTCGAACCAGAACCAACAGTCAGGAACTCTCTACAGGCCATCCTCGTGATAGAAAGATGCCAACATCGTCAGGACGATTAGCACCAACTCTCCAGCAAAGCAGAGAAAAATGATTGGTTTCCGCTTTTCCAAGTTCAGATTGATGTCCTCAGGCCATTGGCAAACTGATGTTTGTTCAGAAGCACGAGCTAGCTACCCTTTTGGTGTGCACTCTATAGTTATAATGATGTCATGACTTGGCATGACGCGCATGACTCATGACGCTAGAGTTGGAATCTCCTCTCTACCTGCTGCAGAGAGTCCGAAAAGACCGCCGCACGCGTCTCAAACCACCAAGCAAAGGAGGGATCAGGTTCAAGACGGTCAGGGAGTGCGTTCTCGGCATGGAATTCCAAGCACCTGACGAAGGTGTCCATTGGCTTCTTTTTCACACTAAAAGACACGTCTCACAGCTTTCGGCCCTTAAAAACGTTCAGTTTCTTCAATTTCGATCGATCCTCTATTGGTTAAATGTGTAGCATGTGTGTAGCAGCTCAGTCTTGAGTCATGACATTCACTTCTGCTCATATCGTAGGGATAGCTAGGACAAAAACTACCAGTACCTTTACGCAGTGCTTGCGCGTCGGTTGTTCTGGTCTTACCAACCCTTACACCTTGGAGTCTTTAGCTTACGCGACAGTCTTGGAGTTCAATCAGCACCTCTTGTTGCTGATCTTGGCACGGATCTCGTGGAGCCGGTACCTGAAAAAAATTGACCAAGCCTCTCAAGGCTTCAAAACTCTGCCACTTACGTCAACCTATACCGCTTCTCCATGCCTTTCTGCACAGCTAAGCCACAACAAGATTGCTTGACTCCGCTTGTCCCTTCTTTGCGAAATATGCAGCAAATCCGTCAGGGCAGCAAGCGACCTCAAGGTGAAACGGGCTGATGTGAACACGTTTTCTTGCAAAAACCATCTGATCGAATTAAATTTTGAATGGATTGGTAGGTCGTGTTCTGAGCGACATCGGCGACCTACTCGGCAGCAGTCTCAAAACAAAGATCGGAAGGATACGTACGAATGAAGCCTCCTGCAGCCAGCAAGCTGATCCGCAACCTTGAGGTGCCAGCAGCAGACCAGCAAAATGAGCGTACAGCCGCCCAGGAAAAATGTAGACTCCCACAGAGCCAAACGTGCCAAGAAGGAGTTGTGATTGGATACGCACTCCCAACCTCACACCATACAGCTTTGGATGTGCAAAAGAGTCGTTTGAAGGAATCTGCTGTAAATCGCTTGAGACAACCAACTGTCCAGAATGGAGCAAAAACGGTTGACCAAGCTTTGCTGAGAAATGGATCTTTGCATTTGGGCTATTTCTAGTTGCCTCAATGCCCTTCGGACAAAGCGCTCCAAAACCAACTGCTTTTCTGCCCAGGAACCTTGCTGCCAGCGGCTCATCACTTCTTGCTCCCGACTCAATGTGGTTTCATTGCCCACAGTCATTGGGTCGTCCCTTTGATGAGTCTGATTGTACAAGAACACTTCGGCTAGGTCTGGAAGAATCAAAAGCATGATACTTCCATAGCCTCCGATGCCCCATGGATTCACCAGGATCAGGACAAGCAAGATTAAAACAGGACCAGCAGCCTGCAAAAAGACCGTGGGAACAACACAGCTCTTCCGAAAGCATTCCTTTTCACGCTTCTTGCTTGCCTTAGCTCTGCAAGTGGCCACCAAAGCAAGGTCATGCGCTGGAACACTATGCTCCTGATCTATGTTTGAAGCTTGAGGGTAGCCTTTTGAGAATTGCCTCAAATGAACGGCTTGAACAGCTGGAAAGTTGCCAAGGTGCATCTAAATGTTGCGAGCCTCGCTTGTAGGAAGATGCAGTGGTTTCTAGAAGGATTGGCTTCCTTGGCCTTTTGCGCCTTAGCAAATCTGCTCTGTGGCTTTGGTGCTGTGGGTTGAGCACCGTCAGAACCGAAAGGGAGCCGTGTTGAAGCACCCAGTGGAATCCGTTGAATGACGCTGAGAACTTGCGTTCGGCCACGAAAATCGAACAGGAAGAGATGTGTGTGTGAGGGCGCAATGGAGGGTGCCAGTGCTGTCCCCCAGTTACAAACTTCAGGACATCGAGGCAGTGAACACCTCTGATTAGATAGTCAAATGCTACCAAGGCTCCGGTTGTCGGCACCGCGGCCAAAGACCAAGAGGAGTATGGCTCGAGACCCCAAGGCTTCATCAATACGCTTGTACTGCCCTTTGCTGTCCACCTAGGAAACAAACTTTATATATAGTATAATCATGTATAATCCCTAGCCAAAGTACAAGTAACACAAGTATCCTGACTCAGTACTTAAACTTGCCCTCCAATGGGGCTATATAGATGACCTGTGACCTGTGTCGTCATCTATTCAAGAAGTCCAAGCAGCGGTGAAGGTGATGGTGTTGTCATTATTTCTCTTCAACTTTGTGACAAGATGATGGCCCTGAGAGCTGTAGATTAATGCCACAGTGTCGCCCATCAATTCAGCCTCAAGGGCACAAAGGCAAACTAACCAAGAACCACATGAGGACTCTGAGGACTAGATCTTGGCATTTGGGCTCCCTGGGAAGGGCAAAAATGCAACCTTTCCTAGGTGGACACTACTTTGTTGAAGGGCATGCATCTTCAGAAAGCTAGTTTCCCATGGCTTCCCACCTCTACTACAACTGCAACATCCTCACCCCGGATGGAATCGTCATCCTCTATAAAGGGCGCCAGGTCAGGTTCCTTCTCCCATCCTTTCTCAGGATCCGAATCTTCAGAGTCAGAATGCTGCTGGCCGCCCTCTTGTTGAGCTCCTACCTGCACCAATGGGTTCATATTCCAAATGTGCTATGTCATACAATGTGCCAGTAACACATCAAACGAACTTGAGCGGGGAAACACGAAAGGTAGAGACGGACCGAGTAGCTGTCGGGACCTTTTCTGGTGAGGAACTGTCTCCGGTGTTTCAGGAACGTGCCCCTTGGTCAATCATGGATGAAACCAACAAAGCCAGAGAGCACAAGAAGGCATAAGAAGGCTCAAGAGGAACACCGTTGCGGTCAGATTGCGCCACACGGCTCTGCAGAGAGGCTGCGTTGCGTCGACGCTCGTTTGTGTCTAGGTGTGTGAAAACAGGCGCGCGCGTAAAAGTCGCAATGCGTAAACGCTCGCATGTGTACCAGCTATGGTCCCACAGCTGCACGCACTGTGTCAGGATTACAGGCCTGCACGCGTTGCGTCGAAGCCCCAGTGACTCAGTGACCAACCCCCTTGTAAGGATAGTGCTGGAGGGGTGCGGCCTGTACTGCCAGGGATGGACGTCACGCTATGGTGGGTGTGCTCCACGATGCGGTAAGATTTCGCCACGCTAGGGTATAAGGCTGAGTCGAATGGTGTTCCGCGACGCGAGGGGTTTCTCCACAGGGCTTTGCGGAGAGGCTGTGTTGCATCGATGCTCGTTGGTGTCGAGCAATATGGTCTGTGAACGCAGTACGCGCTGTGTCAGGCTGCCGGGTGCGCACGCGCGGCATGGAAGCTGCAGCATTGCGCGACCTCATTGCGCAGGGTTCGTGCTGTATTGCGCAACCTCATGGCCAGCGTCGTACTGCTGTGACTGGTAAGCGCATGACTTCACCTTATGTCCAGAATTTAGTAGCGCTGGCGACGAGGGGAGGGGACGGGGAGGGGAGTGGGGGGGGGGGGGGGGGGGGGGGAGTGTATGGATGATTCGTCACGTGGGGGGGGGGGGGGGGGGGGGGGGGTGGGGGTGTTAGACATTGATCTACCAATCTTTAGTCCCGAGCAAGCTCTCAAGCCAGTCCCTTTGCTTCGCAAAGCAAACTCAAGGTAGTCCTTACCAGGCTACCTTTCGTGATAATCGGCGCATTCGTCGAACACGCCTTCATGGAGTGATGTCCTTTGTAAAAATTGAGCAACAAAGTAGGATAAGTCCTGAAGCTGAGAAGAAGCTGGGCGCAAAACATCATGGTGCAAGACACATCATTGAGGTCAGCCTGAAAGCTTGCTTAACCGCTAAACTCACTTTAGCCTTGAAGGAACCTTCACCTCCTCCTGAAGAGTCTGGCACGAAGAAAAGTAATGCCAAATCTTGACAGTGCCAGCGCCCCAGAAAATTTCTGCTCAAAACGTGCGTCCCAGCTGCGACTCATCACCATGCTCCCTGCGAACTGCCAGTTTCAGCACTCGGGGAAGTTTATATCTCATGAAAAAGCCCAAAGCACCTGTCCAAAGTCAATGAATCAAGGCGCTCGGTGGTTGGTGATTCATCACCCTTGTACATCTAGGTTAATCTAGGCCACGGGTCTCTTCAGTCTGTGGTGATCTCAGATTGTGGTGAACAAATATGTGATTTGAATGATGCTGCGCCTGTTGGTACCAATAGACTCGGTGACTCCGCGAGAACCGCCTTTGGGCCCCATGAGTCCCATGAGTCCCATGACTGCGCTGGATCTAAGCTTGTCCACTTAGAAAGCAAGTCTTAGATCGTTTGTTGCTTGATCGTTTGGTTCTCACATCGCTTCGGTTCGGTCCCGGTCACACGTTCTTTCCTCGTGACCGCCACACCCGACTCTTGAGACCGTGCTAAGACCGTCATCTCTCATGAAAACCCTCCCGCCTTCATGTTCGACATCTCTGCCCAAAATGGCGTACAACATGCCATTCCTCCATGTTTTCCTTAGAAATGCATGCTGCCAAGCAAAATGACAATTAATGGAGGGATTCTCAGAAAAAGACTCGCACATGGCAGTGTAAGCCTGTCTTTGAGCTATAGAGCACACCTTGGTACACATCAACCTCTAGTAAACGACTTGACAAAAACAGAAACAAAAACAGTGGCATGGAAAAGCTTGTCATTCAAGTCCAAGGCTCCAGGATGCTTTGTAGTTGCAGCTATCTTTGATGTCCGCACTGGGAGAAACTATTTCATACAGCCGGTCTAAAGCGCGGGATGTCAAAACAAACCTTAGTAAGCCGTGCTGCTTGAAACATAACAACTAATGAAATGTATATAGATGGACAGATCCTTTGTGTGATCAAGGTGTCGCACTTCAGCCTTGTGGCATTTGCCGAGAGTAAGGCTGTGATCATTACAATTCCAAGTGGAACAAGGCAAATGCTCGAGGCTAGGGCCGGACGAACAATGATCGCTGACAGTGTTCTGCGTCCTTCCACCTTTTTTGTTGCACTCATCTTCCCAACTCTGCCGACTCTCGCGTCCCGTGTTGATTGGGTACCAAAATCGTGATCGGATTGGGGAACAATTGCCAAACTTCATCAACTCTAGCAAGCAAGAGTTTGCCCAGAAACCACAAGGCCACAATCGGTCCCAAACATTGCGCAAATCTCTGATTGACGCTGTATGCCAAAGGCAAGTAGTCGTTGATGCAGTTCTCCCATGGACGATCAACTCGCACATCCCGCTCCTGGGCGCCAAAAACAAAGGTCGTGACGTCACCACGAGCGAAACCGAAATCCTACCTGCACCACTGCACCACTAACATGCAAAGTAGCAAAAGATTCCAAACACCCGCCGACACCCCGTTTTTTCGCCGGCCACCGTTCACGTGCCCCACTCTACGAACAAGAGTGTACAGCCCAATTGTCGTTCCTGACCGCCATCACTATTGGCAGAGAAAGGTTCAGGATTGGCTGCTGTCACTCCGTGAGCAGCGGAGCTTTCTTCGCCGAGTGTCCAGGAGGCAAAATGCGCCCCCGACACCAAAGCCTAGTAGCCACCAGTTCTTGATGTAAAGAGCAACCTGCAAGAAACCCATCAAACTCAAAATGGGGACCAAAGATGATCAAAGGATCTATGTCTCAAGGTATCTTGCACGTTCCCTCCGCTAGAGGAATCTTTAAGGTTGGCACAAAGCCAAAAGTCCGGGTTCAAAAAAGATTCTAATTCATTGTCCCACAGCGTTCAGAATTATCAGATGTGTCAAAAGAAAAACTTCACGCAAAGACCCGCGACAATCACTGCGCTGGCTTGCCACATCAGCCACAGCGACTGTAAGAGCTCAAAGAGATTTCCGCCCGCGGACAGCTCTTCCAACCTGCACTTCAATACAGTGCCAAATGGGCCGTTGACATCATTATCACGGTGATAGGGCTTAGTCATAGTCATAACTCATAACCATGAAACAAGCAGACCTCAGAATTCGACTCAACTCCGATGTGTCCGTGTCCACAGATGCATTTGAAAGCTTGACTGCAATCAATAAACATCAATGAAGTAGCCAAGCCACCCCAAATCCACAAGAATCCCGATTAGAAACCTTAGATTTGCTGGGAAAGCTTGGATATGTTCAAAAACCTGGAACGCATGACGAGTTCACGTTTCTTGCCTTGAGTCCGCTCGGATTGAGCGTGGTCGTGGTTCGCAGCAAGTGAGTCACTAGTGGCAGGGTGGGATGGTAGATATTGATTCACTACCACAACACTTCTCAGTTCCAAGAATCCAGAAAATGAAGCGCGCGAAATCCCTCGCTGCTGGATAAGAGCAGAGCTCTTCTGAGAAGTGCGCCCGCATGGCCTCGGCAACCGACACTTGGTCAAGCCCAAAGACCTTGGGGGTATAATGGAACCACTGCGTCTACTCGGCATAGAATAGTCACCAAGCATCAGCAACATCACATTTTAATGCAATACATATGGATACATTGATCCTCGACGTCTGCAATAATCATGACCAGCACAGGCTGCTGAATTGACTTCCGACGACGACACCCCGAACCCCGCCGAGCGACATCAAGCTTCCAAAAACGAAGTGCAGCATCCCTGCTCGCATCGTCCTCGTCAAACCCAAAACACCATATATATATATATACAATGAATATGCCTGATGCCTGGACCATCAAATGGGTGTCCAAGGGAGACCTTAGATAAACATTGGATGGTATAGATAGATAGATAGATAGATAGATAGATAGATGGGACAAACAGTGAGATACTTGAACTTGAGGCATGTTTGCCACCAGTTCTGAATTGCTGAACTTCGCAGTTCCAGTGGACAACTGCCCAGTTCCAGTGGTTGGAAGAAATCAACCTTCAGGTCCCGCGTGGTCCCGCGGTTCAGTCCTCCTCCTCTGCTGCCACAAGCAGTTGGAACCCACGGTCACGCGGATTGTCCATGCTCAAATAAAGGTACACTGATAGTGAGGTGACTTTTTGCTGGGGCATATGGCTCAGGCCAAGGTGTCACCTTTGCTGTTGTTTTTCTGTTTCCATGAATGGCGAGTTCAATCAAATCCATGTGGCCCATGCATTTTGTCAGGCTCTAATTGCTTGATTTTGGCTGCAGCAGCACAAACCCTCCTTCGTGCCCTCAGACTCGTCCACATCCAAAAGTGCTGTTCACACTGCTAAGCTGTTATTCCTCTTTTTTTTGGCTGGCACTGCGCTTTGCTTCTCGCTGGCTTCAGTTTGAAGGCCTGCAGGTCAAACCAAAATGTAAGGCTATGACTTGTAAAGGCAAGGAAACCAGTCAAGAGAACCTGACGCCTGCATAATATGAAGTTTGCAGGTATGTATATAGGTATATGTCACAGCATCCTGAATGGTCTCAAGTGACGGCTATTCCTTTGAAGCTGTTAGGTGAAAACTCTCGGTGTTTTCGCCTCTAGGCGCAGGCGCTGGGTGCAAGCAGCTTCCAAAAGAGCCTGGCCCGGGTCTGTGCGGGGTGTGCTGGGCCATGTCAGACTGACGCTTTTTGTGATTTCGTGCCAAACGCCCCATAGTGTGGTACCTCGGAGCAAAAGGATGCCCACAGCGCTCAAGTCTTGCCGTTGCACCTCCAGATCATACATGGCTTCTGGGGAACTCGGCCCAAAGGTCAGCAGATCCCCAGGCCGCAATTCAGGCAGATCCTGCATCAGAAGGGCACAGTGGTAATCCTACGAGTTTCAAAGTGGGACAGTGGAGTTTCAAGAATCGCTACAGGAGCCCAGGAAACCAAAAGCAAAAAACAACAAACTATATAGGAAGAAGAAACAGCGTGACTACGTCTTACTCTTCTGTCCAACATTATTGCAGCAGTCTGCACCCCTGTCTTGAATATCTTGGCAACACGCATGACTGGGCTCTCTCTGAAACGCGCGGTGAGCAACTGTCTTTTTCTTGCAGCTCCGGTCCACACCGAAAGTCTGTACAAGGTTGGATAGCAGCAAATGCAGCTACAGTATCAGTTGCTACAACATGGTTTTGACTCATGTGCAGCATTTAACAAGTCAAAAGCACATGCCCTTCTGTCCCCAGGGCTTGGCAAACTCACCTTTCATGTCTCAGGCTCTCTTACCTCCTCCCCTGGCTCTGTCCATTTGCAGCCTCACGTGCCTCCCGTCGTTCCTCCCGCGCCACCTCCTTCAGGCAGTTGCTTGAATAGTGTCCGACTCCTCCACACGAGTAGCACCGATTCTCGCCTGAACCCGCATCGAAACGAGCGACCTAACAACTCGAAGGAGCGACCATCGGAACGGCGCAAGCCCGGCTTACCATGGGACGGCGGAACGGCGAACGTGAAAAGGGATGTGTGCCGCCTTCCTTTGAGCCAAGAACATCCCCTCAGAGAACAAGAACTCTAAAAGCGAAAGCCGTTTGGCCCAAGAATGTGTCTGCCTCATGAGAGCAAAAAGTGGACGCATGGCGCATGGCAGATTGCTTTAGAGAGTTGCACGTTGCCAAACGGGGAGGAACACCTGTATTTGGAAAGGCCTTCACTGCATTGCTATGTGCTTCACAGCATAGCAGCATTCAAACAGCTGTTGGAGGATTGGATATCAAAATTGAATGACATTCCTTTTGATTTGCACTTGATTCTTTCCCCCTCAAGGTGCCATCTGTTACTGAAAGCACGATGTTACAAGGCTGTTGGGTATGACCCCGTGCGTCAGAGAATACACGATTTGTTGGGCATTGGCTGTTGTACAGGAAAGCGATGGGGAATCATTTAGTACTGGACTTGTTTCAGCACAGGAATATAGGAATATCTAATACTACATAGAATATAGATGGCGCTGTGTGTCCACCCAAGTCATGAATGACTGGCAACCAGCACGCATAAATGCCTTCTTCGCATTTCTTGGTGGCTAGATCGGCTATATTAATAATTTGAACGTTTGCTGCATCTAAAAGAAAACTGCCTCGCATCTGTCAGGATCGATTTCCTCTCGGCACCTCTTTTGCTGTACTGCAAAAGAGAAGCAGCTCAAAGTAGGCTGCATGGGCCCTGACGTCACCCAAGTTCTTGCCACCTTTATCGAATGTCTACAAATCCGATGTGACCTACCATCACATCCCACACGGCCCTGGCCTCGAGCCATGTGCCGCCCGCAGCCAAGACCAAGGCCTTGACTTTGCTCCGCTCCATCACATTGGCCTTCGTGAATCAGGCATCAGTACTTGAGTAAATCCCCCGTTGTGATTCATCCAATAGGCTGTAGAGTACAGCGGAATTGAAAATCCTTCCTTCTCATGAAAATTCCGTTTGACAACTGTAGTCTGATACGATGTCATGATGTTTATACTTTTTGCAGTAGTACCAGCGTACGCCCTCCATCAACCACATGTGGATGGCCCAGTGGATGGCTCAGAAAAAGGTGTTTGGGAACAAGGATCAACACAACCAAGCTGCCAAGGCCGTGTTTGACTCGCTGGAGACCTTGGCGTTATAGGCGGCCTCACAACTCCCCGGCCTGGCGAATGGCAAAGACCTTGAAGTCTTTCAGCAAGCGCCGGGTCGCAGCACGTGCACAGACCTCCGCCAAGTTGTAGCCCTGAGCACCTTGGCATCTGCTGAGGTGGCAGAAAACTCTTCCTATCCTTTCATCACTTCAAGCTACTTTTCGTGACGTCTGTGTGGTTTGGACTTCTTCCATTCAGAAAAATCCTGCACCTCTATGATCTTCTATGTTTATGTGACGGGCTGACCGTTAGGTCTTTGGCACATGAAACCTCACCTTTTTAAAACATAACGGGCACTCCTGGCGGTGCTGCTTTCTTGCAAAATTGTTTTTCCCCAAATAGTTTACTGTTATGGGTACTCAATTCTTTCTTAAGATGTGTCCGCCCTTTGCGTCACTGCTGGTGTCCGCCCTTTTCCGCTGGCCATGTAGCATTTCTATCATTTGTCTCCCAGGTCTGTCACTGCTGGTGTCCGCCCTTTTCCGCTGGCCATGTAGCATTTCTATTCATTTGTCTCCCAGGTCTGTCGCTGCTGGTGTCTGCCCTTTTCCGCTGGCCATGTAGCGCTTCTATTCATTTGCAACATTTCTATTCATTTGTCTCCCAGGTCTGTCACTGCTGGTGTCCGCCCTTTTCCGCTGGCCATGTAGCATTTCTATGCATTTGTCTCACAGGTCTGTCGCTGCTGGTGTCCGCCCTTTTCCGCTGGCCATGTAGCATTTCTATTCATTTGTCTGCCAGGTTTGTTGTGCTGGTGTCCGCCGCTTTCCGCTGGCCATGTAGCATTTCTATTCATTTGTCTCCCAGGTCTGTCACTGCTGGTGTCCGCCCTTTTCCGTTGGCCATGTAGCATTTCTATGCATTTGTCTCCCAGGTCTGTCGCTGCTGGTGTCCGCTGTCATTGGTGGTGTCCGGCCCTTGCCATGTAGCATTTCTATTCATGTGTCTCCCAGGTCTGCCACTGCTGGTGTCCACCCTTTTTCCGCTGGCCCATGTAGCATTTCTATATTCATTGTCTCCCAAGCCTGTCGCTGCTGGTGTCCGCCCTTTTCCTTTGGCCATGTAGCATTTCTGTTCATGTGTCTCGGACTTCTTTTCTCTCTTCTTGTTGGTCCTTGTGTCCGCCTTGTCTTCCTTGTTGTCTCCCATGTCTCAACAAAAATGGGAATGCTTGTTTGTTGTCCCACCTGTTTGGGGTTTACTGTGGTGTGATTTTTTGTATTTGTCCACAGGGTCGCAAAGTGACCACAGAGTGCTCTCCTGGTAGTGTAGCTTTCTTGACAAGTGTTACAGTAAGTTTCCTCGCAAATCTGTGTTCTTTTGAGTCAACATTTGTCAAGAAAACTGCACTGCCAGGAGGGCACCGTGTTAAGATTTGTCAAGACAACTACACTGCGAGGAGGGCACTCTGTTAACCTTTGTCAAGAAAACTACACTGCGAGGAGTGCAGTCGCAGAAGATTCTGCACTTTTGGGGCCCTTCTTGAAGAAAACAAGCTAAAACACCCCCCCAATAAAAACAACATGTTTTCAGAAGTTTGTCCTCTGTGGGAGGGTTCGGTCAAGACTCTCACAAAAAATTAAATATATATATATATATATGTGTGTGTGTGTGTGTGTTTTCTCAAGGTGTTTTTGGTTTTGTACCATGGGGCCTGTATTATGTGTTCCTTAAAAAGGAGTGATTTTTCAAGTGGCAAATAGTTCTAAATATACCGTGCTTTAAATTAATGAAAACACACATCTCTGGGAAATCTACTTTCCCAGAGATCCGGAGGAAAGCTATAAAAATGAAAGCTTTCAATCAAAGCTTTTCAATATATAAGTGATCAGTCCCAGATCTAGGTTGGAATATATAAACACTTTCAATGTAGAAGGCATTTCTAAATATAGAAATGATTATTCTCAGGAACGAACCAGGTAAGCTTTAAAATAACTGTCTATATACATGCTGTTTAAATATGGAAATGCTTGTTCTCAGAGATTTAAAGTAAAGCTGTTGAACAAAAAGGCTTCCAAATATAGCTTGTTAATGTAAAGAAGACAATTTCCAGAGATGAAGGGGAAAACTCTTGAATTAGCAGCATTAAAATATTTGTTATAGAAGTGATCATTCCAGAGATCTAGAGGAAGATTGTTGACATAGAAACTTTTTATAGAGCTTAATATAGAAATGAGTATTCCAGATATTACTTGAACAAGTCTATCTGTCTACTCAAAAGCAGTGTTTTGACCTAGTTCCCAGCACTCCCAGGGCAAGAAAACACTTTAAAACACATGATTTTATAGCATTTTGTCTTAAATTCACACCCCCAGCACCACCTGCTCTCTGGAATTAAATTAGACTTGCCCAAGAGTCAAATTTGAATTGAACAAGAATTACGTTAGAATGAAAATTGTTTCTAAACTCCATGTTCGGAATGGAGTTATATAAATTGGATTTGGATGAACTTTTTTAGATCTAAATTAATATTGAATTTGAAAGACAATTGAATCAGCATGCATGTAGAGTTGAATTAGAACTGAATTAGAATCAAACTACAATTGAATTAGGCATATATGTATTTTAAACAGTCCATTTGTCATAGCAAATGGGCACGCAAGCGCACTGCCACAACTGCCCGCTCTCTTTAGAAAATATCAACACTGGCAAAACCCACCCACAACACCGGGTCGCGTCGCACCAAGATCCAAGCAGAAGCGGGTTGCGAGGATCCCTTCTCCAATGCGATCCTTCAACAAATCTTGGCCTCGCACCTAAACAGCAAGAAAATGCTGACCACACCACTCCCACTCACTCACTCACTCACTCTCTCTCTCTCTCGCTCTCTCCCCCTCTCTGTGTTTTTAAGGTATCTGTGTTCACCATGCAACAACTACAATTTTCAGCCAACATAGCCAACAGCCATAGGCCTCCGGTACATAGCCCAGCTTCGCGCATCGGCGCAGAAAGCTGGGTTTGACCACAGGCAATCCGGCTGAAATGGCACACCTGAGGGGAAAGTCACGGCGAACACAAACGCAAACGCGTCACGCAAACAACTGAGCGGCCGAGAGCGTAACCTCACGCATGTCAGTTGGCCAGATCACCAACTCCATCAGATTAAGCCGGGTCTCAGGTCGGCGCATCATTTTGAAGGTACGCCGCAAGCGGCTTGCTACAAGGTGGGTCGCCTTCCCAGATCAGGATGCGTAGAGTCTAGAGCAGCTCAAATATCCTTCGGCGAGATTTTACGAGTAGGTTTGGAGTCACAGTCTCTGACATAGAATTGGCCAACGAGATTGGGAGTTCCGAATTGCTTGGCTCTTTCAGAGGAACGTTGGATTCACCCTCTGACAATGACTCTATTCGTGCTGGTCGGCTCATCCATTGCCAAAGAACAAACATATCTAAAGCCAAGCGGGCGTCTTAGACTTGTCCATCACCAAAGATGTGTGTAGGTACGTACCAAAAACATCAAAAAAACAAGATGGAGCCCACGAACCCGAATGCAAACACATACGTCAAACCACTGCGTACAAAAAGAGACACAGCCGGTCAGAATCTCTTTTTCACTCTCTGGCACGCTGTTGGACATCATGCGCTGGGGACTCCACCACCAAGGCAGCATGCGCTGGGGACTTCACCACCAAGCTCCGTCTTCATCATGAAGGGTCTTTGTTTTGCATTCAAATCAAGCACTGGCGTAAAGGTTCTGGCAGATCCGCGGCACGAAAGAAACAATGGCATTGTCCCAAAATCTCGAAAATAAGCACTTGAAAATGATAACCGTCCACATAATACAGAGAAATCCACAACTGCGGCGTCTGATCTTCTTGTAAATAGGAGTGCAAGACCGTGCGTTGTTGTGGTTCGCCTGCATCGACAAGAAGTATATGAGACACACACAACGGAAGTGAAGAAAACTATCCTATAGGTTATGTCATTAGTCCAACATTCGTATGGATTTATCGCGCACACGTTTGTTAGATGTGTCACCGGGGCCTCGAACAACAGATGTCTGGGTCCAAGTATTTCCAGCAATGATGAAGCCAAGATTGAGCTCCGTGGCCAACGCAACAAAGTCGACGTCTGTTGCCCAATGAGTATTCCCACAAGTTTCGAGAGCAGTACTCACGGCATCCTGCAAAGACACCAGGGCCGCAGTGCCAGAACGCACTCTCTTGCTCCTCGTCACGGAGCTGTCGCCCTCTTTGTAGCGAACTAGCATGGCGTCGTCTAGAAATTCTGCTCCGAGGACATCGTTGGCGTCTTTCAAGAAAGCAAAAGGAGAGCCACGCAAGAGTGCGATCATGGACCAGTCGTCCAGCCATGTCCTCGCAGCTTCGCGCACCAAACACCCGACGACGAAGTTCAAGAATGCTTTTGGTGTCTTGGAGCGCATGCGTCGCCCGACAATCTTGCGGAGAGCAGCCGCGACCGTAGTTCGATCGTCCCAGTCAGTCACTTCATCGGAAGTGAAAAGATTCAAGAGTAGTGGGTGGACCGCTCGCGCCTGCATCAGGCCGACCGCAGTGGACAAGAAGAAGCAATCGCCGCCTCCACCAGCTTCGGCGGCAAAGACACGCAGAGCCCCGTGTTCTCGGAAAAATTGCGCCGTGGGAGTGGCCACCTCTTCCAGCGCAAGAGACCAGATGTCGCAGAAATCCGTTCGCAGCTGACGCCACTTGGTGGGGTCGTACTTCCTTTTGGTTCCCCTGAACTCAGTCACTTTACTCGCCTTCGTAGCCGCCGTCCAAGCCCCTGGGACGTACTGAAAGCGACCCTCTGGTGTTCTGTGGGTCGGTCGCGGTAGGTGTTCCGCGGCCGGAAAACCAGGCAGATGTCTGCGAGCTTCTTCGATGGCGGAGCGAGACAAAAGCGCAACCTCCTGCAAACAATGATACAAGATCGACACACGCGCGCGCGGATGGAATGACTCGTAGCTATTTCATATGTTATCACTCGAGCAGGGTCAATCAGTCCGTGGATATCCAACATAGCACATTAAACAATCCAACAAGCACATCAGAGTCCTCCAGTCGATCCAAAAACTCGGCAATATACGCAGGTGGACCAGTCTCAAAGATAGAAAAATCAATATATCGCCTTCTGGCGTCTCCGGCAAATTGCGAAATAAGGAATACTCGACAGCTTGAGCGCGTCCAAGAATCATGTACAAGTGCTGCGTATCATCGTCTGCCGAAAAATAATCTGGCTTCGAAAAATCAATCGTGTGCCCAACTCCTTTGATGGTCTTGCCTTGGGCATTGTTGTAGGTTCCAGCAGCCAGCGGAGCAAGAGGATACTGTATCCGAGTCACATCCAACATCAAGGCTCCTTTGCGATGCAATTGCACGCGGAAAGAATCTTCACTCGGTTCTAAATGCCACACTCCAGGCAGAAGCTGTCCAGTATAATCTTCTTGCTGATCCTGTTGCAAGTCAGGTGTGACTCAGAGATGCATGGGTCCTACAGAAGGTTGGATTAAACTGTCTAAAACCGATGTTCACAAACTATGCAGGACACTTGTCTTCAGTCACATCCGCGTATATCAGACTATATTTAGTTGCAGGCCCAGGCCTCAATACGCAAGGTAATCGAAGCAGGGAGATAGTCCAGGCGAACATATCCAGTCTCCCAGCACGGATGCGATCCCGCGGGGACTCCACCACCGGCGGGCGCGCCAGGCACGCCAAAGCGTTCGTTGGGATGAAAGTGAATGGCGATCACTTCGGCCGGACACTCTTGCACGATTTCTGGTGGCAAGAGTTTCTTCGTCACCTTCACCTTCAAGCCCAAGTGCAGCGGTAGAAACGACATGAGGTTGCCAGTTTTACTTGCCATGTTGGTCAAGCCCAGAATCTCGCGCAGAATGGATTTATCGTTGGTGAACTCACTTTGATGCACCAAATCCACTGCTTGAACGTAGTAGAGCAGACGACCTTTGTCATGCAGCAACGACGTCAAGAAGGATTCCTGCTTGGCGAAGACCGCTCCGAAGCGAGACTGAAAGGACCTCGAAAGATACGTCGGAAAGTGTCGACGATCCAGCTGGGGACGTCCAGTCTGGGTGTTGCGGAAAGCTGCAACACCAAAGCTCGCGCGAGCAGACTCGTACGCGCACAACTGCTGGAGACGAGCCACCTGGTCCCAGTTCACTGCGCTGAAGACACCGCGCGCGAAGAAACCTGGAGGACCGGTGGGCGCAGTGGAGCCTGAAGCCATGGTGTAATCGCTGCTCAGACGAGGATCGCCTCCCAGCGGGCGATACACCTGCTTGCGAATGGCCTCCTTCAGAGCCGTAGACAAGGGACGACCCCCGACCACTCGCATCGTCTCCAAGAGCTCGGCCAACGGATCTCCTTTCCGAAAGCGGTGAGAGCCTCTGAACAAGATGACCTGTTTCAGAAAGGCGCGAAAGACTGCAAGTCCACGTTCATCGATGTCGACTTTCTTCCTGCGCTGTTGGTCGTCCATCTTCTCGTATCGCGGCACCCCCGGAACTTCAATGCCGAAGGCTTCCATGAGGGATCTGGCTCGCACGGGGTTCAGCTGCAGGAAGTCACCAGCCAAAATCTGACACAAGACATTGCCGAAAATGTTGCTCAGAAAATCCTCCGGAGAAAGGTCCAAACGACCATAGCAGGCCGATCCGTGTAGCACTGCCAACAAATTCGGCGCAGTCAAGCTAATCTCATCAACAAACACCAGCGAAAGCCACCACCACTTACGCTGCAAAGCCTCCTTCTTGGTCTTAGAGGGCTTTTGCAGCAAGAGCTCTTGCGCCCGTGTGAGGCCAGCCATATGGTGGAACGTGCTTCCTCCTATGAGTCGAGCGGCAGAGTTTTGAGCAGCGACCCCTCGGGTGGTCCCAGGTAGAAACTCGTTGTAGACCGGGAGGATGACTTCTTTCAGCATGAAAGTTTTGCCGCTGCCTCCAGGTCCATGTACAAAAATACGCGCCACCATGTCCTACGTGGGCTCGCAAACAAAAGGAACACGCAACAACCCAATCCAAAACCTATATTTCGCCAACCCGGTCTAATCATCGCGCAAATGAATTCGTACATTCTCTATGTAAAATACAAAAATCATGTATCCTTGCTACAAGCTATGTTTATGTCATTAGACATTTAGTTCCGTCGATGGAAGCGCGTGGCAACGCGAAATTTTGGACTCCATAATCCTTCTCAACCAAAGCCAACAACGGGTCAAGTCGAGTGCGATCTCCAAAGCAGTGAGCCAGTCCAGCTTCGTTGGCTTTGTTCCACAGGCGCTGCAAGGGCGCGATGGCGAGGGTCACAGCATTGTACTGATCTGGAGAGATTGCATACTCTGCTCCGTCTTGGTGAGTGGACTGAAGCACAGGTAGCTTCTGCTGCACCAGCTGCAAAGCTTTCTCAGCCGGAGACAAAGTCAACACCGCTGCCACAGGGGCCAAGCCGGCCTCAACGTCTCGTGTAGAGATGTGTCCACAACGCATTCATCGTCTGTGTCATGTGCTTGACCCAGTTCCGCATCCTTGCGAGACTCCTGGAGTGCTTTTTGCTGTTGCAGGCCACTCAACACTTCTTGGGTGGTAGATGTCTTCGAATCGATTTCACGCCCGCGCAGACAAGAGCGTGGCTGCTGCAGTTCCTCATATTTCGTAGCATATTGCTTCACGAACTCAGCCGAACGCTTGGTGCTGGAACTGGTTCTGCCTGGACCGCTGGTTTTCACATTCAATCTGTGCGCCAAGCCCAAGACATCTTTTTGATCCACGCGCAGGCGAGGTTGGTACTGGACTTCAGGTTTGATCGGGCAATCGTCCACATCGAGATCGGATCGGTCTTCCACCTCGCCCACGTCCACAAACTCAGCCCTCGCTCCCAAGTCGTCATCTTCGTCAGGAGCGACTTTGTGCTCTTGCGTCGGTCGGGGTCTCCGACGAGCTTCTGACATCAAATCCAAATTAGCACTCACCTCTCGACTGACGACAGCCACATACTCTCCTGCGCTCAGCTGCT